TATTACACCAGTCAAGTCTGACTCCCTCCAATATTGCTGGATATCTACCAATGATCCCTGGTGTGGAGAGCTCTGTACAGGTCAGTGTTTCACAATAATGTCTAAAGCTCATTTCACTACAATAGTTTTAGGCTGAGACCATCCATATAGAAACAACATTTGATGGGTTATGAATGAATATTGGAGGAATAATGGGCTTGCACATATCTTACAGCGTATGTCTTAACACCACTTATAATAGCTCGATATATTGTCCACCTCATTTTGCTGCAGACGGGATGGGCTTCTCGTTCCCGACTGGACTCTGCGTGCACTGTTTCTGTGAGCTCGGAGGGACAGGGAACTGCAGTGGAACTGGAAATGAACGATGACTTCTCATTGGTCGGCAGCACGAGGAGGGTCACACATCGAGAGGACAGCGCTTACATGTCGCAGCGGGACAGCCTATCAGGGCCTCCAGAAACAACCTCCACAGGCACTCAAGGAGAGGAGGACCACAGTGAATATGTGTTGCCTGGATTTGGTGAAAGTCCAGAGAAAGGTGAGGATAAGCAAAATAGAGAGACATGTGTGCGTGTAACCTTTATAAATTAATTTCTGTAAAATGTTGATGTGTCAACTTTGTAAGGTCCTGTGAAGCCATAATGAAATATCTGCGGAAGCCCATTTCTGCCTTTAGAGTAAAAAAATTATTGTGAGATAATGTTTCAAATAAGAAATACATTTACATTGTGAGATATAAAATTACACTGAAATATAATTATACAATTATGACATATGAAGTCACAATGAATGTTATTCAGGGTTGCACTGTTTTTTTTTTGTTTTTTTGACAAGTACACTCAAACCATTGTTCTGCTGTTTAACAATATACTGATTGTTCAGCTGACGAAACGCCTTTCTGAACTTTCAGTAGACGAATACTCAACTTTTGAAAGTTTGACTTGTGAAAATTACATGATCTAGTACCTTAATACAGTACATGTCATTGTAAAGACTGTCCGTATGTCCATCCCTCTCATTCCTTAAATTCAATATCGTGTCTAACCTGACTGGTCGTCAATTACGTTCAATTCAGAATAAAGTGCAACGGTTGGGTTCTGGAAGTAAATACTCCATTCATTTTCTTCATAGGAAATTGATAATGATTGTTGTTGTGACAGACCTGTTGTGAGCTCTGAGGTTGTTAATCGATGGTATTTGCTTCTGTTAAAGCCATCAGTCTGCATTATCTCAACTTATTTTTTACAATAATCGTGTTGACCAGCTGAATTTGTGGTGAAAACTACATTACCCATGATGTTGCGAGTTGCGACAAGAAAATCATGCCAAAAGAGCTCCTTAGCTCCACCCACTCCCATGAAGCACTGCAAATGACGTAATCGTGTCGGTCTCCCTATATTCTCAAAACACTTATACTTATTATACTTATATTTTACCAATCAACAACTTTAAATGAATAGTTTTATATTTCTCCATCGTTTTTAATTCGATTATGTTGTTCACAATGCTTCATGGGATTGTAATTCTTTCCCTCATTAAAGTCGTTGAGTCTTTTTGTCCGATTTTCAAATACTTTTTTGCTTCAAATAATTGTTTTGATTGTGTTGTGATTCACATCATAGCTAGTTGGTTTGGTTCATGGCACTTTAACCAAGACTTTTTTAACATCCCTATGGGAAAAATGAATGGATAAAATACTTCCCGGAACCAACGCTGCTGAAAAAGCTAAGAAACAAAGTCGCAATCGCAATTTCTTTTTATTATTCTTTTATCGGAGAGGTGGACATTGACTTTCATATTTATGAGTACTCGTGTTAACACATCTCTTGTTTTATGATTTTCTTCAGAAACTCTTCTATTACCATCATCACGTTCAACACGTTCTCAAAGGAAACTGTCAAGAGGTCATTCGGGTGACTTTTTAGAAGCCCGCAACGGTCCAGGTGAAGAATACGAGTATATGAACAACCAGACTCTCTCACTCAGCCATATACCAGGGCAGCTTAAAGATTACAATCAGCGACCGCCACGAAACCGCAGCGCCTCCTTCAACCCTGCAGGGTTGTACAGCAATCACAAATCTCAAGGGTCCGGCAGACCCAGTAAGAGATCATCGATCGAGGGCTCAGAAAGTAGCGGAGGTCTTTCCCAGTCCTCAACTGAACAAAGGAGTCACAGCGATGGCGATTTCCTGTCCAGTGAAGCCGAGTACATGGATGCTGATCTAGATCTTCAGGAGGTTGAGTACGAGTACATGGACATCCATGCTGGAAGAGGAGGAGGACCACCAACCAACATGGTTGTCAAACTTCACCTCCCAAGACCAGTTTCCCACCCTCTTCTCAAAAGATCGCCACAAGACAATGAAGACGAATATGTGGAGGACGACTATCAGTACACGAACAGCCAGCCTCGGCTGAGGAATTCGCTCAGGGTGCAGGGGTTAATGGAAGGTGAAGGAGAAGTGTATGAATATGAGGATATGGACTCGTTGGCTGCAGGTGGAGCCTCGGAAGCTGAATACCAGAACATGGAGGGAGAAGACGAGGAGAGTGTTGGACTGAGGGACGGAGAGTGTTCAGGGGGACCGGGGCCTGGAGCGTATGTAAAAGTGCGTGCAGGGATGGAACATAAAGCTTTTGATAATCCTGACTACTGGCACAGCAGGTCGTTTCATAAAACCAATGCTGTCCGCACATAGAGGCGGAGAACGGATTGAAGGAACTTGATGCAAATGAACAAATGCAGGTTGAACTGTCTTCCGTGACCGATGGTCAGGATATTATTCAATAATGCACTCTATTGGCACACATCCATGATAAAACTGATACAACCATGACAAAATAAATGTATTTTGATGTAGAAATGTATTCTTGATGTAAAAAAAAAAGTGCCATTAAGTGGTTTAAATATCTTTAAGCCAGAGCACCTTTGTTCTTTTTTAATATAAACTCTTAAAAGGAAAGGTTCTTTATTGGCATTGATGGTTCTATAAAGAACCTTTCCATTCCACAAAAGGTTCTCAATGGTGGAAACTATACAAGTGCTTTAGAATAAAAGGTTCTTTCACACTAAGAAAATAATTATTCTTGTAAGTCACTGGAAGGTGTTTTAGAGGCCAATTCACACTGCACCGACAGACGCCGACTAACACGGACAATCACCAGATTACATACGCCAATTTTTATACATTCCACAACCCAACAGATGCCAATTGAACACGATTGATCGGCAAAAACAAAAGCCGACCGACAGCAACAGGGGTAACACACGGATCCAACCAAACCTGACGAAGTATCTGTTGTCATTGGTCTGCGTCTGTCAGTGCAGTGTGAATTGGCTTTAGGGAACCCAAAATGGTTCTTCTATGGCAAGGATGCCCAATCCTGTTCCTGGAGATCTACCTCCCTGCAAAGTTCAGCTCCAGCCCTGATCAAACCCAACTGAAGCAGCTGAACTCTTGATAGTCAGGTGTGTTTGATCAGGGTTGATCTCATAGATCTCCAGGATCGGGCACCCCTGTTCTGTGGCATTACTGTGAAAACCCTCTTTTAGAACCTTTATTATTTTTTAAGAGTGTATGGTGGAGGTCCCAGAATTACCAGATTAATGAGCTTCACATTGAAAGCACTGATTTTTACATTACATCTTGATGTGTATGTACGGTATGTAAGTGTGTGGTTACTTAAAATGTTCTGTTAATGCCAAGTTTGTTAAAGCCATAAGTTTGCTGTTTGTGCTTTTGAGAGTGAGTGTTCTTCTTAAATATATGTTATTTAGTGTTCATGAAGTGCCCAATTCAGTCAATAGCTGTTACTGCCATACCACTGTGCATCTGTTCAGATTGCACTCGAATGATCCCCCAATGTCAAATCTGGGGTGTTTACATTTGGAATTTATCAAATAATTCTTTGATAATGTCAGTTAAATAGCATATTGATTGAGTTTGGGTGAAGTTGTTTTTCTTTGAGAGGTGTTGTGCATGCCTTATGAACAAATCATAATGAAGTACTTGTATTATGTTTCAAATGAAATGGCCAGTAAACAAGCTTTTACAGCGAAACTATAGTTTTGTACAAACATATCGAACTAAAGTATTTTCTCAACTTTGTAACAGTTTGAAATGATTTTTTATTTACTGTTTGAAACCTGTTGTCTTACACTTTTAATAAAAATGTTTCTATAAACCTGAACTAAACAATCTTTGCTCTCATACTCCCACATTTTTTCTGCTTTCTGTGTGGTAGTTTCTCAACACATTTTAATATTAGTTTATACAGCTAGGTAAGAACTATAAAGACAATTCCTGAACAGCCAGACAGATTTATGCTGTGTATTTATGTGTTTCAAATGGTTATAGGTGGAGAACCTATTAGTGGGTGAGTAATTCATCTGATCTTTATGGTTTCCATGAACTGGTCAAATTTTCACACAGATGCCACTGACTGTATTATACTGTAGCCTATGATTAAGTAATTTACACCAGAATAAAATGCATATTCTTGCAGATACAAGCCTTTGTATGATTCATTTTTATATAATATGTTTCAGTTGAAAAGAAAAGTATCTTATGTTGACAAATTAAACTTATTGTTATATTATATATATTATATCCTGATTATATAATTCATTTTTATTTATATAAATGTAGATTTGTTAATGTTTTGTGGCATTTTCAATCCTTAAATCAACCGAAAAAGAGGAGTGCCTTAAAACTCTTTAAATTACATGCAGTAGGCGGCCATAGATATTGATTAACCCCCTAAAGTGTAAAGGTTTTAAAAAACTTACTGTGAAATCTTATTGTGCATAGATAGATAGATAGATAGATAGATAGATAGATAGATAGAACAAATGTAAGAAAACAATATATATATTTTTACTATTGTGACCTTTTTGGAAAATATACAAAAGCCTCGGTTGGCTTTTGGCGCCATCGTATATGACGACACCTCCGTTGTGGCTGCGTAGTGGGCGTGGCTACGCTGTGCGTGGAGGCCGTGGGCGGAGCCTGACGGACGGCGAACCACTGTGGTAGCGTGACTGATTTCTGCGGTCCGCTCAACGACGTATTGACAGAGAGACGTTTTGAGAGCCGGTGCAACTATGTCCGACGACGAACAGCAAGAGCAGACCATCGCCGAGGACTTGGTCGTGACCAAATACAAGATGGGCGGTGACATTGCCAACCGTGAGTTTGACGTTATGAGTGATGGAGGTGTTGAGTCGGTGACACGGGCCTCCACGCTGCTCTCTCGTGCATGCCATGTGTTAGGACGAGATGAACAGTGTGGGACATCAGCTCCCAGCGCTCTGGCCTTATGCAATATGCAGCCGCTCAAGACCTGTTTTAAATGCATGACTGTTCCTCCAGTGCACGTCTATAAAGCTTGTGCACTTTTTGCAGTGCTACAGTAATGGAGGGACTCTTTCTGGAGCTAATGCTAGCTAGCATTAGCCCTCAGTGCATGTCAGTGAGTGGACACTTGTGGCTCTCGCAATGCCAGCTGTTAGGGGTTAGTCCTAAAAGGCATGGCATATGTCTGAGCTTTCTACATGCATATGTCCACTATTGCAGATCAATGGCTTGAGAGCTTTCCCATCCTATCTGTCAGCATTGCTTACACAGGCAGTGAACATCATGAAGATGTTGAGGGGATGCTTACGGGGCTTTTGACATTATCACTCCAGGGCAGTCGGTGTCAATGACTATAGGTCATTGTATTTTTTGCACAGTGAACTTGAATGGTAGTGCACTACTCTTTGAGCTCCATTGATGACTCCGTAAATTTGGAGTTTTGCCACATTTGTCGTCTTTGTTGAGAAGAAATTAAGATCTGTTGAGAAGTTCATTCCATCATATAAGCTCAAGCACCTGCTATTTGCATATCTTCTTTGTGTTAAAGGGATAGTTCACCCAGTAATATATTCTGTCATTACTCATGTCGTTCCAAACCGGTAAGATTTTCGTTCTTCTTTGGAAAACAAATAAAGATATTTTTAATGAAATCTGAGGCCTTTCTGTACTCTGCTACACAACTACACTTTGACACTTCAAAAAGTTCATAAAGAGATCGTAAAACTAATCCATGAATTGAGCGGTTTAGTCCAAATTTTCTGAACAGACTCGATCGCTTTATATGATGAACAGATTGAATTTAGGTTTTTATTCACTTAAACATTAATCAACCGTCGCACACATCAGTTGTGGTAAATGGAAGCTCTTGACTTGCAAGGACCAATGAAATTAATTGTTGTGTTATGCAGCATGTTTGAGCTTCAGCAAGAACCAATGAGGTTTGTTCTCGAGCATCAATCAGGTTCGGTTGAGCTTCTGTTTATGTTTGCTGATCAATATTTATATGTGAATAAAAGCCTAAATTAAATCTGTTCATCATATAAAGTGATTGAGTCTCATGGATTAGTTCAATTCCTATAATCTCTTTGTGAAAGTTTTGAAGCGTCACAATAGTTGCGTAGCTGTCTATGGAGGGACAGAAAGCGCTCAGATGAAATAAAAAATATCTTCATTTTTGTTTCCGAAGAACAACGAAAGGCTTACGGGTTTGGAACGACATGAGGGTGAGTAAATGATGACAGAATTGTCATTTTTGGGTGAACTATCCCTTTAAGCCTCAGCCACCCAGACTTTGAGCACACACAACTTCTATGGACACTGCGACGGTTGTAATATCTGTAATATTAACACACTTCTGTTGGTCACACATCATCATGTGATATGAATTCACATGTCAGAGTTCAACAAACTTGAACAATTAAACAGTGAAATTCACATGATCTTGCGTTCAGGAAGTCAATAGAATAAGTGTGACGGTCCTTTATAAGTGGTTCTCAATTTATTTTATTTTTTTCAGGACTTTGTTTTTGAGATTTCTGGAATTTTATTTGGGACATCAAGTGGCATCCCAACACAGTACAAGAACATTTTTTTTTTTTTTTTTTTTTTAGTAAACAATGTCCTTAAATCTTATGTTAAAAAGTATTAAAGGGATACTTCACCCAAAAATTAAAATTTTGTCATCATTTATTCACCTTCAAGTTGAACCAAAGAATGTTGGTAACCATACAATTGACGGCACCAAATTGACTTCCAGTGTATTTTTTTTTCTACTGTAGAAGTCAATGGCTACCGTCAACTGTCTGGTTACCAACACGATTTTTTTCTGCAAAAATAAATCTGGTATTTTAATGCTTTAGTACATTCAAAAAATTAAATACAGCACCCTTTTCCCAGTTTTCCCCCCCTTTTATTCAGCTAAGAAATCACGCCATGATGTATTCATCTTTTTTGGTCACACGTCTTCACGTGATATGATATATTCACCAAACTTTGCATGAGCTTCTGTTTCCTGTCTCCTGCATGCATATTGATAGAAGTCAATGGAACAAAAACTGTAGTGTGACCGCCCCCTTGTTTTTTTTTTTTTTATGTTGAATTTGTTGCTCCAGACTTGCACCAAAATACTGTACAGTTTGATTTGATGAACAGCCTTTGGCATTAACAACAAAATATATGAGAAATGTTTCTTCTCCCTTTTAAAAGTTAATACGAAATTTTGACTATCAGGAGAAAATTCACCAAAGTGTTCATTTTGTCAGAATCCAATGTCCATTAAACATATTTTGCTGGACTGTAATACTTCTACCCCTTTGAGAAACTTGTTTTACTCTGTAGATACTTTTGAAAAGGTTTTAAACCAAGTAAATCCAAATGTAGTCTTAGCATTGTGAAATTTTCTCGGACTGAATCCAGTTATTTTAGTAGGAATCCACACTATTGGGAATTTCCAGTGAGAGCGAAAGATTTCCCCGCACAAATTTCACAAGCAGGTTCAAGTTGGTCGCGTGGATTCGCAAAGTAACTTCTTTGTGAGCCATGGTTCATTAATTGGTACACTATTGACAATAGATCAATACATTTTTTTTGCCCTTGAAATTTTGCCGAAATTTGTGTACCACACCTTTAGTCTCTATTTTTATGTTCTTCTCTCTTTAGAGGCGTTGAGGGTGGTCATCGGGGCAGCCAAACCAGGAGTCTCAGTTCTCTGCCTCTGTGAGAAAGGAGATGCTTTCATCATGGCAGAGACTGGGAAGATCTTCAAGAGGGAGAAGGACATGAAGAAAGGTAGATGTTGCTAAACGCTTGTGGTTTAGTAAGACAGTGAGTGGGCTTTAAATTAAGAGACGTCCTATTGAGCCCATTCAGGTTTAGTCTCCTTCAGAGAAATCTGCTGGTCTAATTTGAAATATTTCTCTCCTCACAAATTACGCAGAACTTTTTTTGTTGAGGATTGGTGGTTGTCCTTTCTTGCAGGCATTGCGTTCCCCACCAGTGTGTCAGTCAATAACTGTGTCTGCCACTTCTCTCCCCTGAAGAGCGACCCAGACTACACGCTGAAAGATGGAGATTTGGTGAAAATGTAGGCAAACCCCCTCTGCGTCTGTCTAACCTCCTCGTGTCTTTTCCTTCCTCTGCCCATCTTGTCTGCAGTGTTCTCCGCTCTATCCCTCAGTGACATCCCAGTGCCGTCTCTGCCCCTTCCGATTGTGTCTTCCTGCTTGTTCCCTTGTTTTCTGTGTTTCACTCTGCACGTTAATGTCACACTTAATCATTTTTAAATAAAGTGTTTTATAGACCTTGTGGAAGCATTGGACCATTAAAGGGATAGTTCACCCAAAAATTAAAATGTTGTCATAATTTACTCAACCTCAAGTTGTTCCAAACCTTTATGAGGTTTTTTTCTTCTGTTGAACACAAAAGAAGATATTTTAAAGATTGTTGTCAACCAGACACTTGACGGTAGCCATTGACTCCCATAGTGTTTTTCCTACTGTGGAAGTCAATGGCTACCATCAGCTGAATACCAACATTATTTAAAATATCTTCTTTTGTGTTCAACAGAAGAAAAAAACATGTTTGAACAGTTTGAGGGTGAGTTTAAGCTGGGTGTACACTGTAAGATTTTGGCCATGATTTGGCTGTCTGAGACCAATTTTGCAAATCCTAAAAGATTCCTCTGATCCTAGGCTATAATCTGAAGACTTCCATCGTTAGTTTGGCATGTTCACCGACAGCCGGTTAATGAGCATTGTGATCACATTTTACCTCTAACAAAATTCTGTCAGTGTCAGAAGTTTTGCCTCACAGTCCTGCTGTGTGACTTCTCCTACAACGACCGTCAAATTGTCTTTGTTTTTCAAGACAAGCCACGACCAAAATGAACGTTCAATCCCGGGTGTGATGCAGCTCACGGTCACAGAACGTGTCATTGTTTGATGTCAAACTCCTGATGAGTTTTCTTGCGTGCCGTGCGTCTGATTTGAACTCGTCGTGACTGTCGTACAGTCTGACATTAATGACAGATGAGATCTTACAGTGTGACATGGCTTACAGCGAGGATCATGTTCGTACATTCTGACAAGCAACAATTGTAAAGGAGTATTATTGTACATATTGTATATACAATATATACATATTGTATATATTGTACAGTGCGCCCGGCTTAGGTGATGACAATTTTCATTTTTGGGTGAACTATCCCTTTAAGCTTTGACTTCTACCACATGGGGGCTAGTATCAACAAGCAGTCCTGTAATTCATCTTTGAAATAAACAGTTTGTTTTCTTATTTCCTTTGTACGGCATACACCCGCACATTTACATTGCTGTTGAAAACTGGTTCAGTGCCATATCCTGTCACTAGTTAAATATGTCACTAAAGGGGGTGCCAATATTACAATTCAGTAGAAATATACATAAAATACACAAGTAAATGATACAAAAACAATACAAATAAATTAATATGTATCATAATTTGGGGTGAAATTCCTTTTTTTTATTGTATTCATTTGGAGATGCTCAAAGGTTTACAGCAATGGACATTTTCACTTTTCCAGGGTTCTCAACTATGAAGGAAGTCATAGTTGGGTAAACTTCTATAGTGGTGAATGGAAATTACAACAAATATATTTTTTTGCATTCACATTTGCTCAATTAGCAATAGATAAATAAATCCACAATAGCATTTCTATGGCTTTCCAAAAGAGGAAAAAATAGGAAAAAAATAGCGAGAGATTGATTAAAGTGGTCAGAAAAGAGAAAGATGTCAAATTTGCCATCAGTCCCTTAACTAGTTTTAACACAGCCCCGTTAACTAGTTTTCTGAAGTTTAATGTCAAGATAATAAAACACAGTATAGTGTTATAGATGTACATTTAAATAAAAATATAAAACCTTTGCTAGATTTATTATGTTCATTTTTTGGATGCTCTCTGAAAACACAGGAGTTTAATGGGTTTCCCTGCAGCTGTATGTCTATTTTTCTATGTTCCCTCATGAATATCTCTTATTCTGTCAACAGTGATTTAGGAGTACATGTTGATGGCTTCATCTCCAACGTGGCACATAGCTTTGTTATTGGAGCTACCAAGGTGTGTGTGCACGCATATATACCCCCCCCCCCCCCCCCCCCACTATTCCTACATTTTTCATTTTATAAAGCTTCATGGACTTCTTAAAGTGCAATTATAAAGTATAACAAACCTTTCTGGAATATTTCTGATTGGTCAGTCCCTTATTTCCAATTTCCTCATTCCTACATAGATATACTAGTTTATTTCTCTTGTAGTGTTCTGTTTCCTCTACTGCTTAATAGAATAATTCAATAAAAATGTCATGTCCATGTAATAAGTGTCATGATAATTGCAACATAAACCCAGACACAAAACAAGTGACTTTACGGTTGACTGTTCTTTATCCCCTAATTCTGTGATACAATTTTGATTTCTTTTAGGAAGCACCTGTGACAGGAAGGAAAGCTGATGTCCTCAAAGCAGCACACCTGTGTGCCGAAGCAGCTTTGCGTCTCGTCAAACCAGGCAACCAGGTTAGTACATACTTCACGCAATTAATGTGGAAAATAGATAAGGTTGGAACTCTTTAACATCTGAGACCATTAGCTGTTAGCCATTAGCCAGCCCCTCAACACAAGATCGTAGAGAATAGGCAGTATGTCTTTTATTCAAATATAGTGATGGTTTGTTTCTCATGCAAAGTCTTGTATCTTCTCCATCTGCCCCATTTACTTTTTGAAGAACAATCAAGTAACTGAGGCCTGGAACAAGATCGCCCAGTCATTCAAGTGCAATCCAATTGAGGGTGAGTTATTGCTGTTATTTCATTTGGGACAGACCAACCACAATTAAACAGACCAGTTCCAGACTAATTCCAGTCTAAAACAGACCAATTCCAGTACTCACCGGGTTGCTGAAGTGCCTCCGCTATCGTTTGCCAGCATTTATCTTTTTTCACTGTGTCGTGGTATTCCCTCAAGGAAACATCATAAAGGCAGGAGTGATGTTTGCCATAGCTCCATGAACCTTTTCCTCTATTGCATAATTCCACTTAGCAGCACCAATACCATCATCTCTTTAGATTCGCCATGTTTGAAAGCTGTGTACGGAAGAGCTTCTGTGCTCCTATAGAGCGGTGCAGGTATGACATCACTTTGTTGGCCAAAACTTGGAAGCGAGTTAGCGTTTTAGCACTTCAGCTCCATTGTCCTGAAGTCAATGGTTTTTTTAATGAGATTTTGGTTAAATGGCTGAAAAAAGTCTGTGGTGAACACAAGCTCAAGACACTTTCACGTTTTATTTAGACGACATAAAATACATTAGTATTATTACCCCACTCGTGACTCTTTTTAAACTGTTACGTGTCTAGAAAAAGGCGGTTGCTAACAAGTGGTTAAATGAGACTACAGAGGCTGTCGAGGAGATTAAACGTCATCACGCCGAACTGGCAAACTCATTCCACTTTTACAGTCTCGTTATGCTTATATATGCTATGCTATATGTTATATACGTTATGCTATAACTGAGCTCTTATAAAGTATTCTAACTTAAACTTTCTGGGAAAACGTTTTTAGATAAAAACTGAAAGTTGTCGGAAGCTTAGTGATGGTGACGTTGAAGTCGTGGGACCGCGGTGTAGTTCGTTTATAGACTACCTTTAGCTTTTTACTTCTGGCAACTGCATTTAGGTTTCGGAATTCATAAAAGTTGTTCATCTGTGATATTTATCTTGATGGACAAAACGTGTAAGTATCATAAACTTTTGTGGATCAAATTTTAATTTAGAGATAATCCAAAAGCCTATGGGAAAATCCTATTGGGTTTTTGTCGAGGGAACCAGTGTGATGCTATCTGCCGGTTGGCCTACAAAGTGAGTGTCATACCTGCACCACTCTATTGAGACGGATGCCACAGATGAGACGGATCTCGCATACTAGTCTTTCTGTTGGGACGCTGTAGTTGCAGACGGGGCGTTGGATGTCATCCACTATGACACTATACGAGATAAAATGATCAATTCTTGTGTCTCGATGCCCATTGTTGTTTTACGAATCACCACGACAAATGGATCGTGCCAAAATCGGCCTGATATCATGTAGTTAATGAAACCTGAGATTTTTTTTTCCTACACATCCATAACTTGATGCTTCAAAAAGTTCATAAAGAGATCGTAAAAGTAATCCATATGAATTGAGAGGTTAATCCAAGTCTCCTGAACACACAATTGCTTTATATGATGAACAGATTTAATTTAGGCTTTTATTCACATATAAACATTGATCAACACGCATAAAATAGAGCACATCAAATATGATAAATGGAAGTTCAAACATGTTTAATTTTTTGCTGAACCAACCCGTTAATCACATTTATTACACAAAATATGAAAGCCAAGTAATTCAAAGTACCAGCAGAAGCCAATATGAATATCTGACTGTGATCTGCCCATTGTTCATTGAAGTATGTGCCATTATTTACAGTTTTCCTCTTTTGCTCATGGATAGGTATGCTGTCCCATCAACTAAAGCAACATGTTATTGATGGAGAGAAGACCATTATCCAGAACCCTACAGATCAACAACGGTATAAAACAAAACAGAATATTGTTCCTTTATTTTCTCTAATAAGCAGGTGTTTATGCCACCACAAAGACAAAGTGTTTTACATTTTTGGGAGAAATTGATCAACAAATGGTTTACTTGCAGTATCAGCTTATAAAGGTGGGATAAGTATTTTAGTATTATTAAAAATTGCTGTTTATCTGTAAGGTTTTTGCCTGTTGGATGAAATCTTGTGGACAAAGTTTCAGGCTAGGCTCTTTTGACTTAAGAAAGCAAGCAACCACATAGCAACAAATGAAATGCCACTCAGAACTTTTTGCAGCAAAATTTGCATGGGCGAGCACATGTTTGTCTCATAACAGGAAGGACCATGAGAAGGCAGAGTTTGAGGTTCATGAAGTTTATGCCGTGGATGTGCTGATCAGCACAGGAGAGGGGAAGGTAAGTGATACCCACACTATACGAACGACACCTGCCGTTGTAAATCTTGATCGTAATCCCATAGATCTCAAACAATGGAGACAAATGGACATTTAGTCTGAATGATCTTTCCCATAGGCAAGAGATGGAGGTCAGAGGACAACCATCTACAAACGGGACCCCAGTAAGCAGTATGGGCTGAAGATGAAGACCTCCAGAATGTTCTTCAGTGAGGTGGAGAGACGCTTTGACGCTATGCCCTTCACTCTTAGGTGGGCAAAACCATTCTTCAGTCCTTAGGTTCCTAACTTAGCTAAATTATGTTGCTAGCAAAGAGGTGCTCCTGCATTAGATAGTCTGTTCTTAAATGAATGAGGCAGGTGATGTACAGTTTGATTAGAAGGATGTGAACGCTGTGAGAACTTTCGGGAATGATGTTCTGGAGTTTTTGATAATGTGCTTTATATTTGTAATTGTATTGGCACATGAGAATGCTAGAAGAATGACTTTAAAACTTAGTGGATAGATCGATGGTTAAGAATTCATGGCAATTCGGTTGTAAAGTCTTCTATGTGTCCGACAGGGCATTTGAGGATGAAGGGAAAGCTCGTTTGGGAGTGGTAGAGTGTGCTAAACATGAGCTTCTGCAGCCTTTTACTGTACTGAATGAAAAAGAAGGTCAGTCTCATTATCATTGCACCATTTTTTCCCCTGCGTTGTCCCTTTTCTTTACCTGCTCAAATGGTAAATCCCTCTTTCCACCTGTATCTCTATTTAGGTGAATTCGTGGCTCAGTTTAAATTCACAGTGCTGCTGATGGCCAATGGGCCCTTGAGAATCACCAGTGGACCATTTGAACCAGAACTCTACAAGTCTGAACAGGATGTTCAAGATCCTGAACTGAAGGTATGTTAGATCAATATAATCTGTTTAAAATTTACATTAAATAGGTTTCTCCTACCTTGATGTTTTGGTTTCTTCTCTGTCATTTTCAGTCTCTGATCCAGAGTTCTGCAAGTCGCAAAGCACAGAAGAAGAAGAAAAAGAAGGTGAGGCCTCATGTTTCCTAACATGAATTTTTCTTCTTTAGTCCTAAATGCTCTTTTCATTACAATGAAAAATGAATGGGGACAGATGCTGTCAAGAGCCAAAAATGCACCATTAAAGCTCCGTAAAGGTAGTCCAGATGTCTTGTGTGCTATATTACAAATCTTCAGAAGCCAAACAACAGTGGTATGGAAGCATTGAGAAAACAAACCTTTAAAAGATGTTTATAAATCGACAATCTCCACGTCTGTTCTAGATCTACAGATCATTTGCACTTCTGCAAAAAACTGGGTATAACATGCACAGGAATTTTCAGCAAATAACTTATTTCATTGTTTCCCCCACAAAGCTATGGCTTCATGTAACTTAGAATAGGCCTGCAAGTTGTATGGATTAAGGCAGTGGTTCTCAACTGGCTTGGCCATGGGACCCACATTTTCCTATAGTCATTAAGCCGTGAACCAAGTTTTTTTTTTGACCTAACTCCTAAAAAAAAATTATTTTTAATAATATATATATATATATTTTATATATATATATATGATTTGCTTTTTTTTTTTAAACCAAGCCAATTTATTTCACAAAAATGGTTGACACACAACTAACATAAATTGTAAGAATATGACTAATACTGATGAAATTAGCAGTGTATGGTAACACCGTGTCCTAACTACACGTGACGCGATAAAATTCCAGCGACAGCAAGTGTGTCTGTCCACACTAGACGTGATGCGACTGTGAGACGCCACACGTCAATCAAAAATCACAGCCATTCAGAACAGCGTGTGGGCGGAGTCTCTCTGTGAAAGCGCACTGCTGGCCCGCACTCGCATTTGAAATGGGTAGGACATAATCAAATCAAGAAATAACATTATTAAAAATCAAAACATTAACAAAATATACTCATTGACTAATTTTGTTATGAAGTACAGTTGTATGTTTGCATAGAATTCAGTTTGAACGCTATATTATATGCTTTCAAAATCTGAGGTAAATTATCCATTATCGCTTGTGGCACAGTGACCTATTTTTAACTAAAAATAAATAATGTGTACTCATAACCAGTGTAATTTCTTCATATGACAATCAGTTTATTCGATCTTGTTGAACTTCCATCTAATGAGATCTCTGTGTGGGCGGATCTGTCAGCCGCGACGTCGCAGAAATAGGAACCGTTTCTAAATTAGAAACTTCGCGTGTCGCCGTCGCGTCTGGTTAGGACAAAAACTCTGATTAACATGGAAAAGATACCTTTTATCGTGTGTCGCGGCGTCCCGTCGCGTGTAGTTAGGCTATTAAATAGCAGTTAGGGCTGTGCCGGTAAACTTGACAACCGCACCACCGCTGTGGCTGAGTAGCACCGGCGGTGGTCTGCCAAAACACATTTTTTGTATTTGAAAGCTGTTTTACATGAATATTATGACACGAGTGAAGCACAAAGCTTTGTTTACTAAATAAATAATAGGTTAGTAATTAAATGTTACATCGCAGCCATGGAAACATTTGAATTCATGACGAATGAGAGAGTTGTGCGTGAGCCCATAAATTTAAGCTTTGTTGGCTTTGAATTCTGGTTTGCGATCTGGTCACCCGATTATCAGCGTATTGACCAATATTCCATTTAGAAAGCTTGAATTGTCTACTTCAAAACAAAACAATTCAAAACGAAAAGAAACCGACTAGCCTACTCTTTGCTTATGTAGGCTAATCCGTATGAAATGTGCATTTCTCTCTATGGGCGCGTTCACTGAATCAGCATCGTCAACTTAATCTTTGCAGCCAACACTGACACAGAAAACACTAGTTTATTAATAAACAATTAAAACGTCTCCTTGCTATATTTGACACATTCATAATCATTACGTTTGCCAGTTCTTAGTGACAGCTGTTATGTGCGTTATTGGCAGCGTCACCCTCTGCTTACATGAACGTATCAGCACCGAAAACATGGAGATTTTATTTTAGAGAATGATCGCGCAACCTATTCGATATTCTATAATTAAATCAACTAATCGAATATTCAAAAATCGTGACTCATCCCTGCAAGGAATCTCTTGTTTCTTTTCCCAAATCTTCACTCACGTCTCACCCATTTTCGAAGGGGATTATAAACGTTTCTTCCTTGGTTCGATTTTAATTAGGCCTATTATATTTGTATTCTTTACTGTGGTAAAGTAGAAAAAAGCTGTAGGACAGAGAGCCTACATTTTTACCTGCACGTCAAATTCTTTTTAACACAGTTTGTGCTTGTTATTATTAGACATGGTAAGGTGCGTCAAGTTTATTTGTAAAGAGATCGATGGTCTCTTTCCTATGGAAGCTTGTTTCCGCCAATGAATAAAAAAATATATAATAATAATTTATATCTCACAATTGCGAGATATGAAGTCAGAATTGTGAGAAATAAAGTCGCAATTGCGAGATATAAAGTCGCAATTATAAGAAATAAAGTCGCAATTGCGAGAAAAAAAGACAGAACTGTGACTTTTTATCTCACAATTCTGACTTTTCTCAGAATTGCGAGTTTATATCTCGAAATTCTGACATCTTTTCTCAGAATTGTGAAATATAAACTCGCAATTGCGAGTTATCAGGCCAATTCTAAGGGGAAAAAAAGACTAACTTTTTTCCCCTCAGAATAGTTTATATCTGACTTTACAACACGCAATTTCGACTTTATATCACGCAATTCTGACTTTATATCTCGCAATTCTGACTTTATAACACGCAATTGCGACTTTATATCAATCAATTCTGACTTTATATCTCGCAATTCTGACTTTACAACACGCAATTGCGACTTTATATCACGCAATTCTGACTTTATAACCTGCAATTGCGACTTTATATCAATCAATTCTGACTTTATATCTCGCAATTCTGACTTTATAACATTATATCTCTCGCAATTCTGAGAAATAAAGTCAGAACTGCGAGATAAAGTCGCAATTACCTTTTTTATTTTTCATTCTGTGGCGGAGACAAGCTTCCATACTTTCCTGCTCGTGTCCCACATGCCACATCCCTGATCCCTCTCAAAGCACAGAGCAATAGGCTATATGACGCGTCTTTGTGTGGAAATATAAAACAAAAGTTTTTTTTTTAGTAGATTTAACTTTTATTAAATTATTTAAGTTACCATTATTTACTGATATTTATTTCAATGCTTTACAGGCTTTAGTGTGTTGTTTCTTTGACGGAATTGCTCAAATAAGCTAAACACTTTTTTGCTCAAATAAACACTAATTTTTTTTTCTTTTCCAAAACAACCCCCCAACCACTGCACCACCGCCGGTAGTTGGTAGCACCGTCACAGCCCTAATAGCAGTCCCAAACGATTTGTTGTTAATACAGTAAAGTTAGTAAGTTGGTACGAGCCACCACAGTCATTTAAAAATATACAAAATAATAATGTGAAAATAAATGGACATTTTTGGGTTACGGAAGCCACAGTTACCATGGTAAATAAATGCACAATACCAACATGAACTGTTAATGAAACTATGGAAATATGGAAAATATGGAAACTGCTCCTGATGAATAGAATGAACATCATACAGTACCTGCATGCAAATCTTTCCAGCCAATAAACGAAGTACAATTTATAATTTATTGGTACTTTTTGATCATTTAATGACTGAATTGCTAATTGACAACATAACTACGACGTTGCATGCTCGTAATTTCTTTTGCGCTTTATTTATAGTGAAGTGATATACAGCGCATGCTGCTGCATTTGCGTGTGCAATTGAAGAGTGTGCGTGCTACGAGCACAGTATAACGGCTGACAGGACAGGAAAGTTTTCACTTTTCTGAGGTGAGAGACTTTTATTTCGTAACAAGTTACGAAAATAACGTTAGAATAATGACACTGACATATAACATCTAATCTGACCGCAGATAAAAATCACGTTTTTCTCTGACAGAAGTGTCAACAGCTTTCATGAACGTCTTTCAAAATAAAAGTCTTGCATCAGGAAAAACGTTGGCTGCGACCCACCAGTTGAGAAACACTGGACTAAGGCATGCTCACACCAACTATATAACTATAACAATAGTTACAGTGCTTAGCATAGGTCAATACACCCATGCTAAAGTTGACTAAAAAGGAATAAAAAATCATCTTTTGGAAATTGATCTTAATGCCTTAATTAAAAAAAATTTTATAAACCTTTTAAAGACACCATTTTTCTTTGTGAATGAATAATGTATCGTAAATAAATAATTGTTCTTCCTTAAAACACAGGGTGCATAAGTCAGGAGTATGTTAAATTCTCATGGAGGCAGGCAGATTTTTATTTTTAAAGGCCAGTTATTATGCATCCTGATAAAGTTCCCTTGGCCTTTGGAATTAAAATAGCCCCACATCATCACATACCCTTCACCATACCTAGAGATTAGCATGGGGTACTTTCCATAAGATCATCTCTCAATGCAAATCAAACCAGCTATTAGGCTAACTGAAATAAAACCATGCCGAAGGTATGCTGAAGGTTATTAACTTTTTTTATGTGTGCTATCAGGCATATAATACTTGTTATTTGGTCATTCATTCATCCATCTTGAATAATTTCTGTCCGGTCCTTGGCACTTATGTGAGACGGCAAGTCATATTGTGATTTAAAATAATTTTTTTCAATTATTTTGCGGTGAAATGAGAAATTATGCAGGATTGCAAAATTTTTTTTGACATTTTGTTGATTTTGCGTTGTATTCAGCGATCGCAGAATCGCAAAAAACTGGAGGGACTGACATTAAGACTGTTACACATGCATTTTCGTTTTCAACTATTATGTTCACTTAAAACATAACTGACTGTGTTTACGTGAATACTCGCCAAGACCGGGATTTTGACATTATTTTGTGTGTATTTGACTGTTTAAGCGCAATAAGCGGCAAAAACAAACTCAACGTAGTACTGAGAGGCGGGTTTTAGGTGCGCGCACATTGGGTGTAAGCGCAAAATCTGTGGGAATGAGTAAAAGGATGCACAATCCCATGTCGAAATTCAAACAGTGCTGAAATCCACCTGAATTTGGCGGGTGTTAATGTCAAATATAATGTTATAGTTTATCGTTACAGTTATTGTCATTGATGTGAACCAGCCTTTAGCCTTATAATGCTTTTGTCATTACGGAGCTGACTGTCCCCATTCATTTTAATTATGTGAAAATAGCATCAGCCTGCACAAAGGAACGACAGCCATGTCGGTATAAAGTGAGTTAAATTTGATGGGTGCACTGTAACCTTTTTGTTATAGTATTTTGGTTAGTTTACAAAACTGAATATATCATCACTCACTTCTCTGTCTGCTGTATTCTCTGTTTCAGGCCTCTAAAACTGCAGAAACTGCTACAGGCCAACCAGCTGAGAATGAAGTTGCAGCCAAATAGAGGCGACACGACTTCACTCTCTCATGAAACCCCCGAAGAGCAAAAACTTCAACATTTCACTCTTGCCCTACTGTTTTAACCTCTTCTTTAACAAGTGTTTAATCAAGAGTCCATGTTAAAGCCTTGTTTAAACATTTTTGCCTTCCCCTGTAATGGAGAAATGTCATTAAGATTTGGACTCCAAGCGAGTGTAACAAATTTGTACTTTCATAATGAATCTATTTACTCTTTTGAAGCACTCAATTTACATTTCAACTGGAACATAATGCCTTTTTCAAAATGTAATTAAAAAAACTTTGCAATTCTTTTGTAGAGTTGCATTTTTCACATGTACTTAATTGAAATACACATGACTGTTTGAAATGCTTTGTTTGGCCCTTTGTTTGGTTCATTTGAAACTGCATTACACTAGATTAGATTAAGTGGTTTGGAGAAATAAACTAATTCGATTTGCAGCTATTTCTCAGGGTTCCGAAGATAAAAACAAAATCTCCCTTATCTGAGAAGTAGTTTTGTACAATTAGGATTGAGAGCACATCCATGGAGAATTTCATGACTTGCCGTGGCTTTAGAATTGGAATTCGATGTACAGGATTCCTAAGCAGTCTTGAGAAGCTATTGTGTCTCACAAAAGGGAAGATCATGTCTTTTTTCTAACTGCCATCCCTAACATTTCATGCTTCGTATGTGCACCTGAAGACGACTCTTTAAACGCTAGGGAATTGTTTGTTCATTCTTGCATATGTGCTTTTCTTCACGTTTTGGTGTTTAATTATCTTTTGTTGATGCAGGGAGATTTTCCAAACAAATTTTAAGATGTATTCAAATTAATATTAAAAAGTCAGATTTATTAGAGGTTTGGTTGAAGGTCTGATCCAAAATACACTAAAGCTACTTCTACCCACTGAAGCGGGTTATAACTTCCACTTGCCAAGGGCCAACACATTATCACTTTATCTTTACTTCTACAAAGCAATAGAGTGTCTGTTTGACTGAATATTCAGATCAAAACTAGGCTCGGACTAGATTGAGAAGCTTTCCAAGCATTGTCTTACAATCTTGTCAGTGCAGTTATTTCAAGAGAGGCCATGAAGCGGCTCTAGAGCATTTCTGGATCAGCCCTATTATTTGGGGTTTAGTAGAGGTTGGCTCAGTAGATCTTTTGAAATGTTGGTTATTGTGACTTTTTGTTCTGTTTCCAGATTGTAAAGGTTTATGTGGGAGAGGAGGTTGGAGGTTTGGAATCGACACAGTCTTGTTTTTGTAGTATGAACCATCATATGGGACTATTTTACAACTAATGAAATAAAACATAACTTTGAATAGAATTTTGAAGATTGTCATCATTGTAAAAATTGACACCATGCCATGCCTTTGTACCGTTGGTGTACGAGGATTGTTTCATTTGAATTCCAACTTCTATGGAAAGTTATGGATAAGACATTTAAAGGGAAAGTTCACCCAAAAAAGGAAAATGCTGTAATCATTTACTCACCCTTATGTTGTTCCAAACCTGTATGAGTTTCTTTCTTCTGTTAAACACAAAATATGATGGTAACCAGACAGTTGACTGCACCCATTGACTTCCAAAGTAGGAAAATAATAATATGGAAGTCAATGGGTGCCGTCAACTGTGGAAACTCGTACAGCTTTTTACATTTTTGGATGAACTATCCCTTTAAGTTAATTTATGTTCAATAGCAGTAACTGAATGAAATAGCTCTAAGATAAAAAAACAGGAACTTTTGGGAGGTTTGTGTCGATGTACTATATATAAACCAACAGGTAATTACATATCTACCGATTTAACTATCTCCAGCCAAAAGAAAAGTCGAACTTTTGAATGGTAGATTTATTTATATAAATGGCAACAGGGGGCGCTGTGCGGCCTAGACTATCAGATCCATACCCATATTAGACATTCTCTGTCCATACTCATGTTCATTAGATCCTTGATCCAATACTACTTTGTTTAATAGGGACAGACACATTATTAAAATCGATAAATTCCAGAGATAGACTATTTTTTTTTTTTTATCTTTGACATGAGGTATCTTGGATTTAGTTAATTGCAATTAAAATGTCAGTGAGGAAATCTATTGATAAATTTATCCTTAAAAATGCATTACCCTTTAAAAAAAAAAACGAATTTGGAGTTGTATCTTTTAAACGAATCAATGATTCTGAACAACTGGATTCGAACCGAGAGCTTGGGACTGTCCCGGAAATTAACCATGGTTTTATTATAGTAAGGAGAAGTAATCATGTTTTTTTTTTTTTTTTGACGGATTGATTAACATTAGTAAACACAATTTTACAACAAATACCATTGCTAAACTATGGCTAGTGCAGCAAAACCATGGTTAATTTGTGGTTACCATGGTTTAACTGTAGCCATATTTTTTTTTATTTTTTTTTATTTGAAGTAAAATTATGGTTTATTTTTTAAAAAAAATGCCATAGCCCAATAGCAGAAATGTCGCAAATACAACGTAGTGAATATATTTACAGCTTACGTTATCAACATGTTTTTAAAACGATTCACCAATGTAGGTGATGACGTTTTCGCTATTTTTATGTGTCGAATGCAAGTTATTTGAAACTGTTGGAAAGAATCGATCGGAAATGAGTCGGAAAATGTAAGACAACTACGAGGATGTAAATGTCAAGATGGGTGACTTTCATGCTTTACAATTTTTTTTTTTTCTATTAAATTTTAATGAATTATTGTGAACTTTTTTTTTTGGTTGCTCTTAAGCTATTTTGTAAATTAAATAAAGTACCCTACCCTCTTTGATAAATATTTCACGCTCACGGCCTTGAAACCAACATGATACAGGCTAGCTCCCGCTAGAAAAAAGAAAGCTTGCATGAACAATCAGTTTTGTTGGGGGTGTAATGCTAATAAACCAATAGCTTGTGGTCAAGGTCCGGTACAATCCAATCCCCGATCCATAAGGGCCCCGGTGGGTGTGACCGGAGAGGCGGGCGCAAGAGAGTGCGATGCTGAGTTCGGTTGAGGAGTTCGGTTGAGGAGTTCAGAGAAGCAGGGCTGCTGCGGACGGTGGCATCAGTGAGAACTGAGAAGGGGCGAAACAAGGGAATATTTGGCCGACTTTCAAAATAACTGGATAATAAAAACGGGACGCGCTGGATTGCAACTCATTCATCTCTTCGTGCACGTAGGTCTCATCGCTGACAGCCCCTGGTAAGTTCACGAGTCTTTTAATTTTGGCTCCGTTTTTCCCCCGTTGCCGTATAACGGATTATTTTTGCATTACTTTTCAAGCAACGGGGAGAGCTCGAGCTAAGCTCGCGCGCTAACCCATGTTAGCGAGCTTGTTATTGCGGTACCTTTAAAAACAGATAAATACATGTTTATTTTGTGCCTTTGGGCAGCCACGAGCAGCATATGTTGGCTAATGCTCGAATAAAACGTTTGTCCGCCTCGCCACAGGCCATATACCGGGAGTTGATGATGATGATGATGCGGGGGAGAAGGCGCGTGCAGCTCCCGGTTTGCAGGCGCGAGGAGTGAGCACGAGCTAGACGGCCGCAAAAACTTCAGCTAGTGCAGGAGAAAATGTTATTTGTTAACGGTCCCGTCGCATGGTTTATATATGTACCATAACTATAATATCAAACTATTTGTAAGACCGTGACCGTTAGAAAGTTGGTTGGACGGGGTTTATCATTGAATGAATTTTGAAGGACTGGCCCTGAAGTCCCGCTTCAGTTTACAGGGGATTCATCACCCGTATAACGGCTCTTATCTGTGAAATAACAGGCACGACCCATTTTCTTTGCCCTGCTTGCCTAATTCTAGCCCTTTTCCCCCCCTCTTTGAGAATTACAGTATCTTAGTCCAGTTGTAGGCCAGACCATCTGGCTTCTGCTTCTATGTTGTTTTTCCCTTGGTAATGCGTCTTTGAAAGGCCACTGGAGGTGGTCCAGTGGTCCAGAGATATTAAACCTATATTATCTGGTATGTGTAAACTGTTTTACAAGCAGCTGTTTACTGAAAATATGAGCTTTTCTCATGTTCCATATGCAGCATTTAAATTCATCATCTAACAGTGAGGTGTGTGCGGAATAAATCCACACTTTAAATTAATTCAGTAGTTTATTGTCTTTGTATTCAGAGAATTTAAGCAAGTTATTATGATAAGAACTATTTTAAAATACTAACTATGTATAATATAGATTAAATGCATGTTGCTTAATGATGTATCTGCGTTCTTGGCTATATCCATCTAAAACCAATATAATATTTGACTGTTCATACTGCTATGCCTAGGCTGTCTCATATCAGAGTGAATCTTTGCTCTTCCATTACTAACTCCCTCTAACTCTTTTTCCAGGTGGCCTATATTTAGTTCCTCATGCCGGAGATGGCGCAGCGGAGCGGGCAAGAGGACCCTGAGCGGTACCTCTTTGTGGATCGAGCCGTGGTCTACAATCCAGCTTCACAGGCAGACTGGACGGCCAAGAAGCTGGTGTGGGTTCCTTCCGAACGGCATGGATTCGAGGCGGCCAGCATTCGAGAGGAACGTGGAGAGGAGGTGCTTGTTGAGCTGGCTGAAAATGGCAAGAAGGCCCTGGTGAACAAAGATGACATCCAGAAGATGAACCCTCCCAAGTTCAGCAAAGTGGAGGATATGGCAGAGCTCACCTGCCTGAATGAAGCGTCTGTTTTACACAACCTGAAGGATCGTTACTACTCTGGGCTCATATACGTAAGTGTGATGTGATGGTGTATTTGCTTTCAAGTTGAAGTCTTTTTCTACTTTGGTTTTTGAGGTATTTTTCATTTTTAGGCTATAGGCTTAGTATATAGGCTTCTTTGAGAGTGTAGGGATAGGGCTGCTTCTAATGATTATTTTAATAGTCGATTCATTGGATAAAAAAATAAAATTTTAATTTCTGTGCGTCTAATGTGTGTGTATACACACATGTATATGGGTGCTTGTTCAATGAAGTCTGTGAAGTTTAACAGAGACTCGCTTGCTGTCAGGACAAACCTTTGTACAAAATGGAAATGCTTGTGGTATATTTTATTTCTAACATTAACAGATAAGGATATAACAGTAAAATGTAAGTTATGCACTGAAGAAGGCTCATCTCCAAACACATTAAACAGCACACATATCTGACATGGTGCCTGACAGGGCAAGCCGCATTAAACTGAATGCTTACGAGTTTAAAGCGCATAATATAGGCTAAACTTTAAAGCATCTCATGTTTAGGATAACTTGGTTAATGCACTTTTTTCACAGTGAGTCATTGTCCTCCTCTATATTTTAGATGTGTTATGTTCATGTGTTTTTCACTACCGTAAAGTGGCGTGACTGGTGGATGTTTTCTGTGCACAGACACGATTAAGCCATCAATTTGTTGTTGATTATTTTCGATTTTAAGGATTAGGCATAGTTGTTGCACCCCTAGTTTGAGTTCGTAAGTACCTTGTGGTCCTGAACCACTTTACAGCATGCACTCAGAGAGAGAAACTGGGGGACTTTTATTGTTCAAGAGAGTGTGAAGCAAGCTGTTTGGTGTTTTAGCCCCATCATTTCCTTTATTTCCCTATGAGGTCATTATGGAATCTCAATGAGAGGGGCCACTTGTCTTCACACTGTCCAGCCACTGCTGTTGATCTTCCAACCCAGTCACCACTTAAAAAAACCCACTGGATCGAATTTATCCAGTTCAACTTTTAATTTCCCATCATTGAAAGCTTTTTCTGGTCGTTGGTAACAGAAATCATCTCGACTGGCTGCACTTTATGAAGACGTTATGAAAGCAGGCAATGTTGTCATTCATTTTACACCCACATATTCTCCCATACCCGCTCAGCAGAGTTGAACACTGTCCGGCTGGATAGTAAGGCCTGCTCCCTGCTGTCTTGTGATTTAAGCCTGTTTCTGTGGCTGCTGTGCTGCCTCCCTATAGGCTACAGTAATTAGCTTTGGAGGCCCGTGCTTGACCTAGCCAAAGCTGAAGTTTAATAACTGGACCTTTGTTTGGCATTGAGTTACAACTGGCTCGTAATATCTGCGAGATGTCAAGATGTCAGACAGACTGTTGACAACCCCTGCATACCTCAGCGTCCCTCAGTTTCCTACTGATGGCTAATTATTGTTGACTAGTAGGGGTATGAAGATACACTTAGCTCATGAGACGATACACAATATTGGGTTCATTCATGAGATGATTTTTATTTTATTTTTAAGAAACACTATATTTAAGAAATCTTCAATGACAAAATCTGACCTATCTTTTAAAAAACGTATTTTATTTGACTGAAAGTCACAAAATGCGAAACAATGCAGGTGCATTTTACTTATCATTTAACTAATCCAGTGCTTTCACTAGCAATTATTTTGGTAATCGAGCAAATGGTCAATTATTTTGACAATTAATTGAGTAATCGGATAATGTATATATTTTTTTTGTGGTAATAAAATAGACCTAAGTGAATACCCTTTAAAATTACTTAAAATGCATAATAACAACGAGGCAATAATAATTGGTTTACATACGAAAGAAAGTAATTGCTAACATGGCATAATCAGTAAATGACAGTAATACAGAATTTTCTCCACCATACAATATATATTTGAATTAATTCCATGGCATTTAGCAACACAAGTCATCCTGCTTTTTTAAATATGATATTCTAATATCGATCTAGCTTACTGCAGTGTGCAACAAGTGTCTCATACCAGTCGCAAAGCTAACTCACAGCGTAACGTTAACAACTTTCAACACACTCAAATGTGTTTTTAGTATGATTGTTTTGACCAAGTAAAACAGTGCTGTTACCCCACAATTTTATTCCGTCAAATAAATGTACCTGTACGAGTAAGTAGAGATTCAGTAATTGCGGCTATTTCATTATATTTCATTTTATAAATAAAATAATGTGAATTTAACTGATCAAACATAACTTTAACAATGTTTAGGGCCCTATGAAATCCGTTTTATTTTTACCCAAATTCCGTTTTATTTTTTCCCAAATTCTGTTTTATTTTTTCCGTTTTAATTTTTGGGAATTCATTTTTTTTTTACCCTTTACTGTTATTTTAGTCATGAAAAGAGTGTGCTTTTAAAGTTAATGATTAAAATGTATACAAATAAAATAGGAATGACCTTAAATTACAGACATTTACTCAGTAGCCTTTTCAGGACAAATACTGCATGATGCAACATGACACTGCACTCTTCAAGTAACAACAAAATATGGTTATGAGCTTTAAACTGTCCAGTAAAATAAATTATATTAGTTTAAAGTTTAAATAAAAGTCACACTCTGTCTCTCTCTCTCGCCCAGTGTCGCTCGCGGAGTTCGCTTCGCTTTTGTCCAGTCCGGCGCCTTATATGGCGCTTTTCCACTGCATGGAACGGTACGGTTCGGTTCGGTACGGCACGCTTTGGCGCTTTTCCACTGCATGGAACGGTTCGGTTCGGTACGGCACGCTTTGGCGCTTTTCCACTGCATGGTACAGTACGGCTCGGTTCGGTACGGCTCACTTATGGCGCATTTCCACTGCATGGTCCGGTACGGTACGGCTCGCTTCGGCTCGCTTTAAATGGTACCTGCTCTGTTGAGGTTCCAAGCGTACCGTACCGATACTAAAATGTGACGTGAAAACACAACAGATCACTGATTGGTCAGAGAGACAGAATCGTCACTATCAGCGTCATTGTATTTGCGACACGAAACCCACTCGATTTAAATAGCCAGTAGACAACAGCCACCGCTGTAGCACCTGTTTTAAACTACTTGCTTGACTTGCTTGAAGAAAAAAGAAAGAAAGAAAACTTCCATAAAAAAAGAAATGGCTGAATCGTGGTCAGTGGATGAAGTGCAGACGTTCGTCTCGTTGGTTGCCGAGGAGCGGATAAACTATAACGGTCCATCTATAATCCCACCCACTTTGAAGCGGTACTAACTGCAGTGGAAAAGCAAACCGGGCTAAAGCGAGCCGAGCCGTGCCGTGCTGAGCCGAGTCGTACCAGCAGTGGAAAAGCGAAGCGAGCCGAACCGTGCCGCGCCGAACCGTACTGAGCCGTACCAGCAGTGGAAAAGCGCCAATAGACAGACGTGGTGTGTTTGTGTGTGCGTGTGTGTGTGCGTGCATGCATGTGAGAGAGACGGAGGGAGAGCGGGGAAAGGAAATGCAACGGAAAGAATACGCTGCGTATTTTAAATGCCGTTAAAAAATGAACGAAACGCAATCTGTGGCGGCCGGAGTTGATTTTGTGGCCGCGAATTAGTCTATGTGTGGGAAACACTGCATAAAAGTCACGTGCGAACTGCTCAGCTCGGTACTGAGGGCTTATAGCGTCGAGTTTCTTAACTTTTTCGCCGAGGAAAGCAGAGCCGTGGAGAGCCGCTTCGCCATGCTTTCAGTGTTTTGATGCCGTCATTTGAGCTGAAATGACGGGAGGGGTTGTGTCGCCCAGATTTGCTTCCCCCGGTCTGCATTTTCACCAGACATACGTTCTTCTCCCACACCAAAACAGAATTTCAATCCAAATATGTAAAATTCCACGAAATTCCGCGTTAACACTAGATTCCGCGTTTATTAGCCAATTCCGTCCGCGATTCCGTGATCGCGGAAATCATAGGGCCCTAAATGTTCAAGTTCAGAGAAGGAGGTGGATGTTAAACAACTTAAATTGTAAAAAAAGAAGAAAAAAAAGCAGCGGCCTACTAGCATAATAAAAACATCAACGTAAAATGTGCCAGGCTCTGTGCCCCCGCCCTGCTTCATACCACAGTAACGTTAATAAAACTATAATACATCAGCAGCTCATCAAGGAACATGATTTCTGTCCGTCAGCTGTGGAGGTGAAGATGACAACTCCCATGATTCCATGCTCATTCACAGCGTCATCAAGCTATGTCTGTTATTTACTTTCAATAAGCTACCTCTAGTGGTGAAACTTTCATACTGTGCCTTTAAAGGTTATCTATTCTTTTTGTGTGCGTGCCGTGGATAGTGACCAGACCTCAGGCTGGTGTGTGGTATGTGCTCTCATATCTGCTGTGTGGCCAGAGCCGTGGAGTCGCTGTGTTCCTCTCTGCCTTCCCACGCCCCGTGTTCCTGAATAGCATGATGGGAGATGCATAGAACAAAGTCCCCACACTACAGCAGTATTTTTAATTTTTTTTGATAATCTGTTTGTTACACTCGAATGTACTTCTAGCTACTTCCATTACATTACAGAGAAAATGCATGAGGTGATCTGGTATAGGCCCTTTGAAAAAGCGGCCGGGGCCAATGTTGCCACCTTGTAGACAAACAAATTAGTAGAGATATCCAGATCAAGGTTTTTTTTTTTTGTGGCCCCAATCCAAGTCATTGAATATTGAGTATCTTCTGATATAGAGTCCCTATCCAATACTTGTATTTTCTAGTGCTTGCCTTGGTAAATGCTTTAAGTACATTAAAGTGATTAAAATCAATCTAATGTAAATAGGGTTGTGCAGAGAGTTTCTCAGGGGCAGGGGCTCAAATGTAAAAATCATCTATCACTATGGAGTAATTCCAATACAACAATTACTAAAGTAATCACACTACCCAGCCAAAAAAAAGTTGCTGTTTGAATTTAAGGCCTTGTTCACAAGAATGTTTTTGTTTGTAAATGCATCTTTTTTCTCTCCATTTTGGCCTTCCACCCACACTGAGACAACTGTGAAAACTTGACCTTTTTGAAAACGCTTTCCCAAGTGGATAAATTTGAAAACGCTGTTTTCGTGTTTGTGTGAACGGAGGTATTTTAAAACAATGATGCATGTTTAGTCGTGACGCATATTAAACCGATAGATATGCATGTTTATACCGCTATTGTGCCTGTTATGTGCTGTTCACTTTCACACTGTTGCTAAAGATATGTTACCTTGTATGCTCTTCATATCAAAGTACTGCAAAGATGACAGAAAATGTATTCTTGCTGTCTTATGGCAAAACATTGCGTTTTAGATCAAACATATAATGGTGACTGAGTGCGACCTGGACGCATTATTGAATGGTGAGATATTTTGCTAAATAAAATGATCCTGCCAGAAGAAAAGCATGAGAACTTTTATTATGTTTGTTCCCTCTGTATCATCTCAGTGAGTTTGTATTGTTCTATGCATGCGCAGTTAGTAATTTAGCATTTTCCGATATTTCAGTGTGGATGAGAAACTTTTGGAAAACACTTGAAAATTGCTAGTGTAGACTGAGAGCATTTTGAAACGAAAACGGCGTTTTCAAATGTATCTGGATTAATGTAGATGTAGCCTAAATAGGCAAATGGTTAAGAGAGTCTCTGATTGGATCATTATTGCAGTGATTATGTTTCTAGCATGTTATCTGTTTGGCAACAGTTCTTCTAACCCTAATTGATGGAGTGTGCAGATTTTCATCTCTTAAACAACCATGTTGTTTAAGACACATCATGGCCATATTCCAGGATGACAATGTCAAGATTCATCAGGCTCAAATTGTGAAAGAATGGTTGGGAGGGAGCATGAAGAATCATTTTCACACATAAATTGGCACCTCTGAGTCCAGAGCAGACCATTGAAAGTCTTTGGATGTGCTGGAGGAGACTTTACAGAGCGCTCAACTCTTGCATTGTCAGTACAAGATCTTGACAAAAGATGTATGCACCTCTTGATTGAAATAACATCACAGCATTTATTTCCATGCAGTAGTAGTACATTAAAGTTCTTAAGTTTTAAATTGTTAATGATTGCAGTTTGGCATATCTCATATATGGGAAGCAGTTTTCTTCCATATATAGTCTGACAAACATGGGAGAATGATGCTGGAGAAAAACAGATTTCCAGCCACAAGTCTCTTGAGTCCCAAGTCTATTGTTCTGGCCTGAGATCTAGTTTGGCAGGATGGCTTTGTCTAGTGGGGAGTTGGGAGTGGGATGTAGACGCAACTGTCCTCCACACCCATATAAAGGCCCACTCTAAACACAACCTCAGCCAATAGAAAGACCCTTCAGCAGACGGGGATTACCTCTCCTCTGACTTGTGTCTGGATCACACAGCAGTGGCCAAAGACATTCAAACAAACACAAGATGCTCTGTTATAGTCTCGTATGTGTTACAGAATGAATAAAACTTGTAAATGTCTTCTGTAATGAAGTGCATACTCACTGCAGGACAGCTGCACTGGCACTGCAGGGCTCGACATTAAGGCTTGTCCGCTTGTCCGGGACAAGTGGATTTTTTGTAGGACAAGTAGAAGAGAAAATTAGTTGTCCGACCGGAAAATAAAATGCCATGTTACTTCACGTTATGTGCCACTCGTTACGTCTATTTTACAGATTTGAAACGAACACATTTTTTCGCGCTGCCTGTGAATGTCCTGTGACTCACAGAAAGACGCGCGCCATGTCTGTGCATAATGCACATGCACAGACCGCGCGCCAGAAGTTCTCTTTTGCGCTTGAACGAACATCAACAACACACACAATTAAGCCAAAATGTCATTTGTCGAGTATCTTCATAACATAAGAACAGTCTTATGATGGACATAAAGAGTTGTGACTCGTGAGAGAATGAGGCGCGTGTGATATCCGCGTCTCTGTCCACAGCGGCTGCTCTTAAAGGGCCAGCTACCAATAAAGCGTTCTGTCAGTAAAGTTACTGAAAGAACAAAGGGAACAGAGAAAATTACTCACTGCTCTTGACTAAAGAACTTGTGTAGCTTCAATAAGTAGTAGTCTATATATAATTTATAATTTATGCAGCCCAGACTGTTTGATAACTTTATTCAATTTCTGTATATGTCCTACCTGTTAGACAGTTAATTTTTATCCAGACATCAATGGCTTATATTGATCATTATAGGTGTTATCAATCATTTAATTGTTATTGCTAATTTCAGAATTATCACTAATCTGTGTGTGCATTTGGTTTAGAACCAAACAAGTTGACTCATGAAACCATTTGTTTATTATATCGCAATCGCATATCACAACCGCAATATTGAACTCAATAATCGCAATATGACATTTTCCCCAAATCGTGCAGCCCTAGATAAAATTATAAATCTTTACCCGGACAAGTGACTTTTGTGCATGGACAAGAGAAACATAAATTTACTTGTCCGAAGGACAAGTGCCTCAAAAAGTTAATGTCAAGCCCTGCACTGAAAGCATGCCAGCATTTCTCAAGAAAAACAACTTTGTGGTGTTTCATTCTGTACACTTAATGCAGATATCAGTATATACAGAAAAATCTTAAATTCATGATAAACCATAATCTTTTTTTTTATCTCATCATTACATTATTTAATTGTTCTGAAATAAAAACAAAACAAATCTGTTGGCATTATATCATAACGCTTGTCTAAGTATAATTAATTCCTAATAGTAATTCCAAATTACATTAATGTTTTTCTATTAAAACAACAGCAAAAAATACTTTGTATTGTCACAAAGAGTTAGTGCATTTATTCAGCAACAACAATCGCAAATATAGTCTCGAAATCCACATTTGGATTTATTACAGTTCATCTTCGAGAAGGTTCACAGTAAACAGCACAAGTGGCTTGTGAAGGAACACCGACTGACTGAATGACACTTTGATTTAAGCAGAATATCTCAAATGAAGATCTCTAACCTCCATTTTACTTGTTTGCCAGTTCATGTTGGGTGATCTGCTCCATTGTCATATCGTCCTATCGTTAGCCTAGAGGTTTTGGTAAAGTTTTTATTTTTTAACTACATTTTAGTCTCGCCTTTTTTTAAATCAACGATATAGCATGTATAGCACAGTTATCGTTTAATGACGTTGATGGCAAAAAATTGTTGTCATAGATTTTGTTAATAAATTAACTTTATTTAATGTGAATGATTTAATACATAATTCAAGTATCAGTTAAGTATTACATTTTCTTCCATCTTTTGTTTGTGTTCTTGTCTCTGTGCAGACGTACTCGGGACTCTTCTGTGTGGTCATAAATCCATACAAAAACCTCCCCATATACTCCGAGAACATCATCGAGATGTACAGGGGTAAGAAGAGGCATGAAATGCCACCTCATATCTACGCCATTTCTGAATCGGCCTACAGATGCATGCTTCAAGGTAAGACCGTAAATATCAAATATTCCTTCTGTTCTCAGTCAGTTCATCATGTTGAGCCCCAAATAACACCTCTGGCTAAATAATTCTGGATTTCCACTGAGGATATTGCTGCAAAAATAAAGAGGGTGTTGTGTGTTTATTGAATCTTTGTTTAGCACTTGCTGCCAGATGAGGATAAGACTACCAGGTGTTATTAAGCAGACAGATTCTCCTCTTGTTATTTTAAGCAGTTCAAGATTTCCGTAACCATAAAGCAGAATATGAAGTTACTGGCAGTTTCAGCCAACCTTTAATGTTATTGGCTGAGCTTTGTTTCATTGTATCATGTGACTTAGACGGAAATTGACTATTTCACGCTTCACTATAGTTCACTATTTCCTATGGTATCTATTATATTTCAGTTTGTTTTTTCACCCCAAGAGATAAATTAATTGTATCTGGTGTCCTCAGATAAGCCCAGGGAATGGAGAGAAAAAAGGGCTGGATTTTTCTTTTCTTATTTCACTGCAGTGGGCTTGAGTCTCAGCTGTGGGTCTGTGCATATTGAAGTGAGAAGTGTAAGATAAAAGGTATCAGAAACTTCTCTATCGGTCACTGATAAACTACAAGGTTACTAAAGAAGTTTTAGAGAGTCAAGCTTTTAAATACAACACTGTGTTCTTTATCATGTCATTAGCTGTGAGTACTGTAAGCCTCTGTCCATCACAGTAGGAGATCATAAGGTCCGTCGCTCCTCTTCTTGGACAATTGGAGCTTTTTCAGACTGTGTGTTTTCATTCTCTGTGTGTTTGGTTCTCTACTCAATGAAGCGGATCGGTTGTGGCTGATTGTGTAAGCCAAGATCAGGAGATGTAATTCTGTGATTTTGGTCAACCATCATTTTTTTTTGGTACCGCTGTCATAATCTTTAAGTCATCTCTTAGTAAATCTGGGGCAGTTGGATATTGGAGTGGGTAACTGTCACAGATTAAGATGCCGTTTGGCAGAGATGTTAGTGTGTTCCATTACAACTGAATTAATTTAATCTTTCAACTCTCAATTTAATTTTCAGTGCATTTTAGAGGAGTTTATACAATCAATGAACAGCAACTGTAGTCAGGACAAACAGTCTGCACACTTTTGATTAGGATAAATGGAGCTGTATTACGTAATAAGGGATTCGTATTTGTTTGTAGGCTGTACCAATTCAGCACTTCCTCAGTATGCATTGAAGTTCTTGTATTTTAATTCATGTTTATTGCATTAGTGATTGCCAAAATTAATTTTATATGTACATGTTATTTATAATGAAATGTACACTACTATTCAAAAGTTTGGGGTAGGTAAGATATTTAAAAAATTTTTTTTGAAAGAAGTCTCTATGCTCTCCAAGGCTGTATTTATTTGATCCAAAATACATTAAAACAGTAATATTGTGACATTATTAAAATTTAAAATAACGGTTTTCTACTTTAAAATGTAATTTTATTCCTGTGATTAAAAATAAATAAATCTCATGTACATAACATTTCATTCATTTTACGAGTCCTTAACAATCATCCAAACTTGGAATCAAAGAAGTTAATCCAGGAAACGGAGAAGCATTTGGCATGAATGCAATGCTGAATTTTCCACCAAACCGCTTTCTCTTACATACAAGGACAGACCAGTTGTCCTGATCTGTCAGTGGCCAGGGAACAAGAGCCGTCCCAGGCTGGAAGGAGAGGCTGACCTGCATTGTGGGGTACAATGTCGCCTTTGTGTGGCGATGGTTGGTTGGGCAGTAAGAACTGTGACGTACTGGGTCAAGTTTGGCCGGGACACATGGACCCTAGTGTCTGCCTTTGGAGGAAACACCCCCAACAATGCTGCACACGCCAGTATTATTAGATCTACAGGGATTACGGCCGTGGAACAAAGCTGTTTATTTTTTTCTCTGAGATATTTCCTCCGTAATGGCTCCGTTCCAGTTGTGTCCAAGCGCACTTGTGGTTTTATGGCTGCAAACCACACTTTTAGACTCTTTTATCAGAGCGCCAAAACTGTTCAAGATTTGATCAAAGTTTCTTGTTGGTTATTGTTTCAGTTGTTCCCCTCATTTGATAGTTCATCTTCTAGAATTATCTTCTTGTTTTGTTACATTTTTGCTGCACTTTAGGTCCATGCCTTAAGTCTTCCCTGTGCTGCACTATGGTAGTTTGAATAAATGTAAATGTTTTTTATACAACTAATTTTTTATTTGAGTGCTCGTTATTATATCTAAAAATTAATAGCAGTTGAATTTGGACTGTTGTTAACTTTAACCTTTAATGTTATGGTAATGTGCCAACAGATAGGGTTGCCTGTATAGTTTACAGCATTAAAAATGTACGTACTACCTGATATATACACACATATATATATATATATATATATATATAATTACATAGTATCTCCAAGTGAATTAATATCTAATTGAATTGAAATCAGAATGTCAATACCCAGCCCAGGTGAGGTAATTTTTGCTCTATAGTTGGGTATATTGCACTACAAAAGGAGAATATTTGTTTTCTCACATGCAGCTTTAAACGTTAAATAAGTTTCTGGACACACTGACTTACACAAACACACATCCATTCACATCTGTCTTTGATTAGTCGGACAGAAACCAGCCATAATCTGGCTGTTGACTGACCTTGGTTACAAAGGGCTAATTATAACAACTTTGAAAACCTTGGAAGTGCTGATCTTCACTTCAACAATAACATTTTTGGACAAGACCCAGTCAGTACAGCCACTGGAGCGCAGGAATGTCAGTGGCTTCAAGGCATATGGAAGCTATAAAATCTAAACACGGTTACTGACAGGAAAGCTATGTTTGAAACATAATTACAACCTTTGAAAATGCAATCTCACAACCACATTTACCCAGTGCGGGGGCACACTTTAATTTCAATTATGCTAAGAGATGTCGAGCCCCCCAACTTATCAGTTAGGGATAGGATGGAATGGGTTTTGAGCTAAGATGGTTACTGTTCTGGGGAGCTTGGGAGTTTTTGACCCACCTGTTTCCAATACACGTGTAATAAGCGGTAATGTGTTTCATGACACTGTCCTTTTGAACTCTGTCCAGGTGGTTGCAGACAGATCTCATCTGTCTTGAGCCTACTGGAACATAAAGATCTTGGGTAGATTATGGTGACCAGAGACTCTGTTTCAAAGGCATTCCAAGGGGAGCTCAAAAACATTTTTGTACCTGTTTCAGATCAGCTGTGTTTTCTTCAGTGCGTCTCAGACAGGTTAACTAAATGATACTGTGGATGGATAGGATACATAAATATTACTTTACTTTTTTTATGTAGCATCTGGAATTTTTCATCCTTTTAAAATCTTGCTTGTTTGAGTTAACAGTGTAGTTATATTCAGACTGAGCTTTAGCTAAAACATTCAATTTTGAGAGGAAGCTGCTCAGAAAAAGGCCAAACCAAACGTATTTTTAAAATATGTCTGTATATCAATATTACTAATCATAGCTATACTTTCCAAGTTTCTGGACTTGTCAAGTTCATTTTTTGGTATGTGTTAAGGTACTGTGATACAACTGACAATTATGAAACTACATTTGTGCCAAAATCACTGAACTCTATAGTTTAAGAGCTGTCACTATGTCTGAAGTTTTGAATTTAAAGTGTTTTTATTCTCTCATTTGATACTTTTTTTTGTTTAGGGGTAATGGTTTGTTTTATGTCAGTACTTTAGGAACCTATCTACGCCATACAGAAAACCACACTGTTTTATTTCATGTATAAATAATACTTTAGGTAAGTGTTTACTTTTTTTTTTTTTTTTTTTTTTTGGACATCCACATAGCATGAAGCTCCAGGGTTGTTTGTCAGACAGTCATGACCTTTGAGGTGTTTGTTTTTTGAGGCTGGCTGCCCGCACTGCAGAACACACCCCTTCAACACAACATGGCTACAGAATCCTCCTAGAGCCTCTGACAAAGCAGATGAGATATTCTTAGTTTACTAAACATCAGCTGATACCATGATACAGTTTATTATTTAATTTCAGCAAGGATTTAATTTTTTTTTCTCCGGTCTATAAATTATTGCACTTGTAGATTCTATTTTAGCCATCTAGTGGGAATGTCAGTAATGTAGTTAGTTAGGACATACTAAATTGCACAATATTTGTTTAATTGGAGTATGTGTAGTTTGAAGGTCTGTAGATGTTGGATTGTGTTTGGTTTACAAATGAGATAAAGTGACATGCAAACATAATGGTGTTCTGTGTAATAGAACTGCAGTCTCCAATAGTTATTGTCACCCCTGATCAGGCCATATCTGGCTCGGCTCACTGAGTATCTAGTGAGTCATATTTCTCTGTGTGACTGACGGGCTCATCATTTCCAACAGCTACATGGTAAATTCCTGCGGACAGCAGTTGCAGCAGATGGGCTGTTTATTCTGTTGCGGATGCTTGTCGTTGCCCTCTTGTTGCTTGGCTCTTTTGTACTGCAGTTCATACAAATGAAATGATTCTCAGACTGGATTATTTTTGTCTGTGAGCTCAAGTGTCTTATCTGTTTAATTTTGCCATTGTCATTGTCATATCCAAATTCAATTCTCTTTCATGCATTAATTGCACTTTGTTAGATTTTCCTGTATTTGACCGAGCAGTCATTGGGTGGCTCACATTATCTAACAATGGACAAAACATTTGTAACCGTATTTAATAATCTGTTAATGTTAGTTAAAGCTGCAGTAGGGAGTTTTGAGAAAACGTTGACTTAGCCTGAAAATTTGAACAAGCACAACTTACAGGTCCCACCCCCTTGCTCTCTGCTGCGCTACAGCCCTCCCTCCACAGCTCGTCCTCCACAGCGGAGCCTGTCGCGAACGCGCAGGCTAGTAAACAGGCCCACCGATGACGGTGGATAAAAAGTTATATGACACATTCACTAATAGGGACTAAACGTCAACAATATGCTTTACATTGACTATGGCCTGCCCATACTTTGACTACAAACTTGGTCCTCA